ATATAATTTATAAAAATATTTATTATTTATAAGTAATTATAATTTTATAAAAAATATATATAATATATAAAATTTTAATAATATATAAAAATAATTTGAATTATTAAGTAATAAATACATATAAAATAAAGAAAAAAAATTATATAATAAATATTTTAAATCATATAAAACATTTAAAATAATAAAGAAAAATTAATAAATTACTTAATTAATAATTGAAAAATAGTTTTTAAAATATAAATTTTAAAAAGTAATATTGAATTAAAATATATTTTTTTAAAAAAAAATATAGTAAAAAATTATCAAATTTGTAAATAAAAAGTAATATAAATTTATTTTAATAAATTTTTATTAATAATAAAAAATATATAAAAATTATAATAGAATGTGATTCAAATTTTTAGTGAAAAGTTTTTGAAAATTTTAGTTATTATAATCTTTTAGACAAATTTAGTTAATTGTAATTTTATTCCAGTTAAATTTTTGATTTTTAACTTTTTTTATTAATATTTTAAATAAGAATTATGATCAGTCATAGCTAAGTTAACTGAAAAGAGTCGTTAATGACTGAATAAATTGACTTTAAAAATTGCTAAAACTGGCACCACTACTAAATAACATTTTGATATTATATTAGAATCAAACAAATGAATTGTTACGAGTATTTGCAAATCAGATTTTTCAACCTCTGGCAAATACGGAGGAAGTTATATCGATATCTATTCAGCCATAAGAATTAGCACATGTAGATCTCTTGAAATTTACAAATAATCTTAAATGTCGCAACTGTTCCAACCATTTTGCTATATATTAAAATAATTAATCAAACATTAGGTAAATAATTGTCATTATCTTTTTTTAAAAAATCAACACCTCACTATATAGGAAGAATTTGCCTGATCCAAGAATTAAAGATCTGCGACACAAACAAAAGGTAAGCAATTAGTTATTTTCAATTTAAAACATAAAAATCAAATTCACTCTATAGGCTATTACCCCGATCTAAGAATTGAAGTCCTCCGGAACCTCCTATTACCCAAAGATTGATGACCTCCGATATAACCAAAAAGGATTTTTCATTATTTTTCAATTAAAAAATATAAAACTAGCAATACCTCTATAGGAACTTGCCTCGGCCCATGGATTGAAGATTTCGGATTCTACAAAAAAGGAAGCATTTGATTATTTTTCTTAAATTTTTTTTTAAAAAAAATCACACTCACTCTTTAGGAAAAACCTAACCGATCCAAGAATTAAGATCAAAAAGGGAAGCATTTAGTTTGTCAACACTCCCTCTATAAGAACATGCTTCCGACCCAAGGATTTGTGTATAGATGATTCTGGAATCTACAAATAAGTAAGAAATTGAAGACTTTCGGAACTCACAAAAAGGCAAGTATTTATTAGATTTCTTTAATTTAAAAAACTAAAGCTTTGATCTAATTTTTTAATTAATGTAAAATTGTCTACGAAGTCTTTTACTCGATTTTTTTAGCGTTCGTCTTTTTTCTTTGCGGAGCGTCCGAGACTCCATAACGAGTTAACATTCATATTAAAAATGTATGGTATGCTCGTCCATGCATCATAAATATTATTAACAATGTCGGATGTTTGTATACCGATTTGCCTAAAATGAAAAAATAAAAATTTGATTATATGTGTAAAATTCTTTAATATTTTGAAACTAAAGATTATTTGGTGTTAAGATTTCACCAAAATGCTTCCAACTTCACCGGAATAACTTACATAATAAAATAGTGTATTTTTCTGATATATTCCGTTTTATATCTTCTAGCAACTTTGCCATTAATTATATTAAATAAACTTAAATGGAAATTTTCTACAATTAATCCTAATTTGTATTTACCAAGTGAACATAAAAAAATGCGATTCAATCTACCGTTTTCAAATCGTATTCGTAGGTGAAATAAATTATCTTTGATTGCGCTGGTATTGTTGAAATTAAAAATTTAACTAAAAGTCGTTTTGATGAAGCTGGCAGTCCTTGTCTGATTCTTGATACATTTTCACGATACCTTCGAGATAAATCTTTATTTCGTCTTCATTTATCTCAAGAAATTAATAAATAATTTTTCGATAGTCTGTCTTTTCATAATTAAATTCTGATATGGTGCGTTGATAAAACAAAAAAGATTAATTAAAAATACTAGAATAATAGAATAAAAAGAATATCTGTTGAATTTTAGAAAATTAAAGTTTTTTCACCATTATAAAGCCTAAACTTCCTGCGAATTAACAAAAGGTCAATTAATATTTTTATTTTAGATCTGTTAAGGGATACATTTCGCACTAAGCAATCACTGCCTGAATTCGCTGTGACATGCTATCGACCAAATTTTCAATAGTATGTCTCGCCATGCTTTTAGCGTATCGGCAAGGTTGGTTGGATTTCTGATTGAGATCAGGACTTTGAGCTGGCAAAGATAAAATATCTTCGTCATTCCCACCTGAAAAACCATTGCAACCTTCGATTCGTGAGGTCGGGCATTACTTCTTGGAACCATCAATCATTATTTGGAAACATTTTCTCATAGCTGATAAGACATACTTATGAAGAATGAGTCACCAGTTGCTGTCCCGGTCAATGGAACAATCGGCGCACAGGATAAACCTACTAACCCTCAGGTTCTCGTACAATCTGGCTTTTTGGAATTGAGAGAAGGTCGATTCGTCACTCCACATTAATTTCGACAAAACCAACTTTGGTACACAAACATCTTGCGGACGTTTCTTCACGTGATGAAATCAAAGATGTTCGAATTTCTTCCAAAGTTGCTGAAATTCATCAGCACACGATTTTTATCATTCGTTTAATGCGATCACGTTGAGTTACGTAATCAAAGGTGGGTCCGGAGCGAGTTGTCGATCGATTCGATTGGTCCGTTAGCTCATCATAAAGTATTCCAAAAAGTTGACAATCCACACATAACGGTCTTTGCAATGGCTCGATAATTGTTCGTGTTGTTCTTTGGTCAATTCCTTGGTTTGTCCCATTATTTTTGTCTCTTAGGAGAGAGAATTTTGTGAATCAAGTCAATAAAACACGAGGTAAATAAAAGTAGGCCGTCATATGACCGACGCTGTTGTATGACGTTAATTAGCATTTTAGGGGGCGTTCCGTCCACTCTCTATACAATATTGATCACACATTCTTGTACAATTTTCCTTGCTTATATATAAATATTCATATTCGTTGGTTATAAAGCAGCTCCTCTTTCAAATCCTTTTTTTTTTTACAGCATAACAATCATCTACACATTTGCTGTACATAAACTCTAATAACTTAGAGATCGACCTAAATCGAAATATAGTCATTCACATTCAATGTAGTCGACTCCAAAGTCAGGTTACGAACAACTTTGACTATCGTCTATACGAAGTTAAGATAATCCAAGCCCACAAAAGACGCCAAATTCATCATCGAAATTCCTGCTCGCTATAGATTCTTCGGCTACATTCTCATATATGTTGTTGATTTAATCTATTCAACATTGACCTTATTCAACACGTGCCGAACTTGTTGCAGTAACTTCTAGCTCTCATCTTCAGCTCAAGTTAATATCCGTATAGATAGTTCTCAAACATCCATGGTTTTTATACGCAAAAATTGGGTAGTGAATAGATGATGTATTTATGTTATCCTGTAAATATATTAAAAAAAAAAATACAAAAAGTTTAATCCATGTAGTTCTTTGTCGAATTTTCGAATTGCAATAAATCAAGCTTGCAGTATCAACAGCAAAACAAAAAAAAAACCTTTAACCAATGGTTCAAATTCAGTAAATTATCTCTTGCACCAAAGATTTTGGTTGGAGGTGAGAGGAGAAAGTATTGTGTGAGAGACGTTTCAAGAGAGTCCTTTGTCCATGAACTTTGGTGAAAGATTTTATTATCTTTGTCGACAATATAAAGTCCAGTTTTCTTCGTAAATAAACTTTATTTGAAAGGAACGCGTTTGAAATTTATCATAAAAAAAAATATTTTCAAAATGGCGACGTGAAATACTGTATTATTCAAGAAAGAAAAAAAAAAATCGTTTTATTAGTTTATCCTACGAATTATAAATGACGTTTTCAAAGATTCAAGTAGTATGTCTCATTACGTCAAGTATTTTTCGTAATCTTTACAGGTAAATACACGAAAAATTATCGCATTTTTCACGTCAATGTAAAAAAAATAATGTACTAGATGAATCGTTCTCAGAAAATCTCTGCAAATAAAGGACATAGTAACATTTTTATTTTTAAGTATTTTATAATTGAAAGTTGATTTTTGAGAAGTTTTTAATATGAAGAGAAGTTTGGGTACAAAATTTTGCTTAAAAATGTTTGGAAATTTTGACGTTGACAACGTGATCAAAACTAACTATAGATCGGCATTGATTTTTTCCGACGATCCCGGCAAGCATTTTTCGAATAGGGGTTGATATGAAGAGTCAAGATCATTAAAGTTGAAAATAAAGCGAATTTGTAAATAAATTCATTTTCTTTGTTGTAAAGGTGAAGTGAAAAGCACTTTTACATACAGTCATTATCCGTCAAATGGAAATTGTTATTATTTCTTGGGTAAGGCTTAGTTAAAAAATTAGTTGACATTTTTATTCGTTATTATGAAACCATCTGACGAATAATATATTTAATTTTATATATAATCAAACGTTGTGTATTAAAAGATGAGGTGAGGTAAATGAATCATAAATGCAAATTGCTTGACTCAAAAATTAATGCAAGGTGAAACTGTCCCAAGGTGAAACTGCGAATGGCTCATTAAATCAGTTATAATTTATTTGATGGTACGTACGATCACTGCTTGGATAACCGTGGTGATTCTAGAGCTAATACATGCTAATACCCGACTTTTTAGAAGGGATGGATTTATTAGATAAAAAACCAACGTCGGGCAACCGATCCCTTGTGGTGGTGATTCATGATAACTTACATAACTATTTTCAAATCGTGTGGCTTAACGTCGACGATGAA